TCATTCACCCTTTATTGATTGGCACAATGTACCAGACACTGGGCAAATACAATAACACAAGCTCCCTGCCCTTAAGGAATTTGGTGACATCACCTAAGGAGCTATAAATAATAGATTTATTACTGAAAACTATTGCATTATTTCCACATAGTTTAATAACCAACTACGAATCAACTAGAAAGAGAAACTGAATATAAGTGTTGTTCTAAAATGACTTAGGTGGCTGGGTCACCTGGATGGCTCAGTTTTTTCTTTTTTTTTTTAAAGATTTTATTTATTTGACAGATAGAGACATAGCGAGAGAGGGAACACAAGCAGGGGGAAGTGGGAGAGGGAGAAGCAGGCTTCCCACTGGGCAGAGAGCCCAATGCGGGGCTCCATCCCAGGACCCTGGGATCATGACCTGAGCGGAAGGCAGACGCTTAATGACTGAGCCACCCAGGCGCCCCAGTCATGTACATTTTCTTATTGAACTTCTTCGTTAAATAAACTTCTGTAATGGTAATAAAAATTTTATTCTCTGGTCGTTTACTGTAAGTTTGCCAACACCTGGCCTAAAATACCCGGTTTGAAGGCAATTGTGCACAGCTCTTGTGTGAGGTGACATAAAGTGCTTTCCAGATCTTGCCTCATTTGCTTCTAAAAACTTCATAGGGTGGGTATTATCACCATTTGTTAGGTGACAAGAGACTGACAGAGAAAACTTTGCCAACATCAAAGGCTGGAGTCAAACAAGGTCTTCAACTCCAAAGCTGGCCATCTTTCCAGGACACAACACACTCCTGAGAGCTCTGAAGGGCACAGTCTGAATTATAACCAGTCTTCTTTGGACATCCATCCATTGGTCCTAATTTTCTTCCTTGAGGCCATCCATAGAGTAGTCTTTAAATTGTTCTATAGCTTTCCATCTTTATTTGTGACCAGTTGGCTTTTTGGACCCAGAGGCAGAATCTTACACTTACTACTATTGAATTTTGGTCTATAAGATGGAGCGTATCGTTCCTGCCTATTAAGATTTTTTTAGTTTTAATTCCAATGTAGTTAACATACAGTGTTATATTAGTTTCAGGTGCACAATATAATGATTCAGCAATTCCATGTATTAGTGCTCAAGATAAGTGGACTTTTTTAAAAGATTTTATTTATTTATTTGACAGAGAGAGACAGTGAGAGAGGGAACACAAGCAGGGGGAGTGGGAAAAGGAGAAGCAGGCCTCCCACGGAGCAGGGAGCCCGATGCGGGGCTCGATCCCAGACCTGAGCCGAAGGCAGATGCTCGAGGACTGAGCCACCCAGGCACCCCGAGATAAGTGGACTCTTAATCCCCTTCACCTGTTTCACCCATACCCTCCACACACACAACCCACCCCCCCCAGCCCCTCTGGTAACCATGTTTGCTCTATTGAGATGTTTTTGAATTCTCATTCTGCAAGCTGATGATGTTGCTCTTCTCTTTGCCATCCACAAATGTATGTATGCCTTCTGATTTTCACCTGTCACTGGCAACATGCAGTGGCTTTATCCTTCATTCCAGAAGGTGGCACTCATAGGCCACTCTGTCCTGTAGATCCTGTTGGGATGGCAGACTCAAGACTTAACAGTCACAGTTGGAGGGGAAACCCAGGTGGACATCATTACTTTCAATGTCCTCTCCTAACACCCACACAGCCACTTCTAAAAAGAAAGTGAACTTGTTTCAGCTCCTCCTCCTCTTTCTGCATTCTTTCCCATTCAGGAAACTTCTCTCCCAGTTGTCTTGAATCCCAGACCTTCCACTTGCCTCATACTAGTTGTGAATTTGGGTAAGTTACTAACATTTGTGCCGCTTTTTCCCCACCTGTGGAATAGGGAAATTAATAATACCCTACAAATAAATTAATGGATGATAATCATTCAACAAGTTACCCCTCCAAAAAAATTTTTTCCATTGCATTAAATTTTCACAGCTAATACCAAAGGGGTACTAAATCAGAGGAGCTACAGAATTAGAGCTTTTTTTCCCCTTAAAGTTGCATTTTCTTCATTTATTCCCCTTAAGTTGTCCCCATACCCCCATAAAACATATTTGTCCCTTCATTCAGAAATGGACCAAACCATATATACACAATGGAATATTAAGCAGCCATCAAAAGGAATGAGATCTTGCCATTTGCAACGACGTGGATGGAACTGGAGGGTGTTATGCTTAGTGAAATAAGTCAATCAGAGAAAGATAGGTATCATATGACCTCACTGATATGAGGAATTCTCAATCTCAGGAACAAACTGAGGGTTGCTGGAGTGGTCAGGGGTGGGAGGGATGGGGTGGCTGGGTGATAGACATTGGGGAGGGTATGTGCTACGGTGAGCGCTGTGAATTGTGCAAGACTGTTGAATCACAGATCTGTACTTCTGAAACAAATAACGCAACATATTTTAAGAAAAAAGAAAAAGAAGAAGATAGCAGGAGAGGAAGAATGAAGGGGAGTAAGTCAGAGGGGGAGACGAACCAGGAGAGATGACGGACTCTGAAAAACAAACAGGTTTCTAGAGGGGAGGAGGGTAGGGGGATCGGTTAGCCTGGTGATGGGTATTAAAGAGGGTACATTCTGCATGGAGCACTGGGTGTTATGAACAAACAATGAATCATGGAACACTACACCAAAACAAATGATGTAATATGTGGTGATTAACATAACAATAAAAAATTAAAAAAAAAAAAAGAAATGGACCAAACCTATTTCCTTCCCTCATCCTTGATCTGTAGATTATGTTGTGGGTTTTTGTTTTTTGGTTTAAGTAAGATCCACGCCCAGCGTGGAGCCCAGCACAGGGCTTGAACTCAGGATCCTGAGAGCAAGACCTGAACCGATATTGAGAATAGGTCACTTAACTGAGCCACCCAGGTACCCCTATTTTTTTTTGAAGATTTTAAGTAATCTTTACACCCAACATGGGGCTCAAAACCACAACCTCAAGATCAAGAGTTGCATGCTCCACCAACTGAGCCAGCCAGGTTCCCCCATCTGTAGAATCTGTTAAGACAGAACACATCCTGGGGCGCCTGGATGGCTCAGTCAGTTAAGCATCTGCCTTCGGCTCAGGTCATGATCCCAGGGTCCTGAGATTGAGCCCTGTTGTCAGGCTCCTTGCACAGTGGGAGCCTGCCACTCTCCCTGCTTGTGCTGTCAAATATAAAAAAAATCTTAGGGTGCCTGGGTGGCTCAGTTGGTTAAGCGACTGCCTTCAGCTCAGGTCATGATCCTGGGGTCCCTGGATCGAGTCCCGCATCGGGATCTCTGCTCAGCAGGGAGTCTGCTTCTCCCTCTGACCTTCCTCCATCTCATGCTCTCTCTCTACCATTCTCTCTCTCAATAAATAAATAAAAATCTTTAAAAAAAATTTAAAAAATATAAAAAAATAAAAAAAATAAATAAATCTTAAAAAAAAAAAACACACATCCTTGACCATCATTTTATCCCCAATCACACTGGGTTCCTGTCCCCATAGAATTGCTTCCCCCCAAGTGTTAATTCAATGTAAGAAATGTCCATTTGCATCAACCCCATTCAGGAACAGGCCAACGGTAAGTTTAAGGAATATCAGGCTCTGTGGAAGGATACCTCAAAACTCTTAATAAGACTATAAAGAAGATTTTGAATATCCAAGTCACTCTGGAAGTCCCTCTTCTTTTAACACAGACCTTAAGGATTTAAACAAACTCAATGTGAAAAATAAACGTTTATTACAAAAATGAGTTTTGACATTTCAAAATGAAAACAGACAAGGTGTTTTCCAACTCAAAGGGGCTGTGGTAAATTCCAAGGCTGGTAATAAATGCCTCCTACTCACATGTGACTGAGAGAGGGAGGAACCATTCACCTCAGACTTGAACAATGAATCACCTCTGCTTCCTTGTGGTGTTTTCTCTACGTCCCTCCCACCCCATCTCCCAAGTAGGATACAAAGCTGAAACATACTTTTAAAATCTCATTCTTACTGAACCGTTTCATCATCTCTACTTTTCTTGTTTCATTATTTCCATCTGGAATATTTATTTTTTTATTGGTGCGTGACCCTTAACTGATGGTTTGGTTGGCTTTGTTTTTCCTTTTGGATTCTTGATAAAACAATTCTGTTAGGGATTTCCAGATAAGGGAATAAAACATGGCAAAGTGGGGCTCAGTATCCTCCACAGAAAGAAATAAGCAAAATCAGCCCTAGAAAACCCCTTATTTGCCCTCTTACGAGTTAATAAATACACTGGGGGACTGTGGTAGATGGGGAAACAGAAACCTAGGGGCAAAAAAGGGTCCAGAGAGACGGGGGAAAGCAATGAAAGGCAGGCCCGCCTTGCCTACCGCTGCTCACTCCCATGCAGACAGCTTCACAGCCTGGTCTCAAACTGTCTTTTCCTTAAACAGCACGCCCCTCTACCCCTGCCCCACTTAAATAAAGTAGTAATTACTACTTTCAACTACTACTGAAGGAGTTCTCTAAAGGGTTTGAGGAACCCTCCTGCCTCAGGCTCCAGAGCAGTTTGCCCACAACCTTAGAGAAGTCCTATTAATGCATCTGTTTGGCAGAGGTGGGAGGGTGGGCACTTTCTCCTCTCACTTGGTGGATCAGACCAAGCAGAACCCCAGAGCACAGCCTCAGCTTCGGTGGGGGGGAGGGGGTTGGCACTCCTCCAGAAGGCTCTCCTCCTGCCACAAGAGGGCTCTATAGAATGAGGGTCCAATGCTCCGGCGCTCCACCTTGAGACAGGAACCAGGAAGGGGTGGGACAGGGAGCCAGGACCAACCCAGGCTGCAGGGAAATGGGGCCTCAGGCAGCTTCCTGTTTGTACAAAGGAGCCCAGGAGCCTCATTTGCCCCACTTCCCACAACAAGAAGCTTTGACAAACCAAGTTTTTATTTCCAGCAACATCCAGCTACACACAAACACACACCAACAAAATCTCACTGAAGAGCTAAGAAGCCCTCCAACACACACCGGTTTCAGCAGAGCTCTCTCTCTCTCTCTCACACACACACACACACACAGACACACACACACACACACGCGCTCGGCAAAGAGCTAAGACTACTACACACATTCCCACAGCCCTGCAGACGTCTCAACAGCGTCCATCCAGTTGCTCCAGCCAAGGGTGATGGCTACCAGCTCCAGCTTCCTTTTCTTTAGATCAGTGGTTTTAAAACTCTTCTGCTCCATGTCCCATGAAAGCTCACTATGCTCTCCATAACCAAAGCTCCTGGGTTTTCCTAGACACAGCTGGTGTCGGTCTTCTTGTGTTTAGGACGGTGTAAGAGGATCCCAGTGGCACTTCCCATGGGAAGACAGAACTAAGTGGGCTGCAGAGGCAGGAGAGACTTGGTGTTGTCACCAAACAACCTTTTCAGCTGCCTGGTCTCCAGTCCCCACTCTGAAACAGCCGATACCTCCTTAGCATGGGAGGAAAGGGCCGAGGGATAAGCTCAAGATCGCTACTAGTGGGCCACGACACACAGGGGGTATAATGCCCACCACTGTTGTTGCCTACTTGGAAGGAAGTCAACGGGCGTCAATCAGGACTCCTGCCTGATCCCTCATAGGGATGGGGAAGGAAAGCTTTAAACAAGTCCCCGGCCACTCAGCAGTGGTGGGAAAGGAGGGGAGGGATGCAGGATGAAGGGGTACACAGCCGATGTTGTAAAAAAAAAAAAAAAAAACACATCCTAACTAAAATCAAAGTGGGGACCCCTGTGGGGGCTAGAAGACACATAAGGCATCCTGTGGAAGTACAGACATCACGGGCCAGAGTCTGGCAGCGCCGGCGTAAGGCAAGCACAGAGGACAGGGTATGAGCCGGACCTGGGTCACACCAGGAATGACGAGGTCTGCCTGAAATCCCCCTGGGGAAATAAAAATGCCCAAATCAACTCTATCCTCTTCTTTAGCTGATCATCTCCCATACCTGTAGACACAGGCTAGAAGCCCCCTCCTCGTCCCAGGGTAGCACACTCACTTCACTGCGAGCAGTGGGCTGGCTGTAAATCACCTTCTTGCTCGAGGTCCTACAGACAAGTCAGAAAACAGAGATGCTCAGTCCCCTAGTGCTCTCCTTAGCCCCTGCTTGCCAACTCTAGAGGTGGGACTGAGAGCTTTACAGAAGCACAGAGTTCTCAGCAGGGACGTGTGGGTGGAGGGAGACAGGACAAATGCAAGGCCACAAGGAACAGGGAGAGGTAGAAACCCGGATGTCCGCCCAACCAGGGCTGCCTCCACCTCCAGCCCCTTCCCCTGGGCCCATCTCAGCTTCAAACCACAGGCATCCATGTTTTCAGCCCCAGAGATCCCCAGGAGAGCACCTCACTCACCCTTTCTTTGTTCCTAAAAGAGAAGAAACGGGACCGTGACTGTGAGTAGGGCAGAAGAGAGCTGGGCACAGAAGGGTGGGGGGACTGCATGCAGCAGGTAGGTGGCGCTCACCCGGGAGATAACCCCGCACATGTGGGCTCACTATCAGGTCAGTACTCACATGGCACCCAAGAACCATGACCTGAAAGGGGGACGATAAAAAGGAGAGCCTTTGAGGGCCAATACTCACTGTCAAAGTAGCCTCGTCTATGGGCGAACCAGATGCCCAAAATCAAGAATCCAAGGAGAATGAGTGTGACGAGCACAGCTGCCACGATGCCCCCCACATTCAACTCCGCTAGGAGACACAAACGAGAGGTCAGTGCCCTGAAGGCTCACTCACACCGCTGACACTGCCACCAAAGCCAGGATGCAAAGCAGACCCCAATCCCCACCCCAGGCCTGAGCTCGAGCCCCTGCTCCACACACCCTTGCTCACCAGCTTCCATGTGCACAGCATCTGACTTCATGGGGGCCCCATACCCATTCTGTGCCTGACAAGTGTATTCTCCAGTATCAGAGGCTGACACGGGATCGAAGACCTGGAGGGAAGAAAACAGTTGGCTTCCTGCCTGAAAAAGCCAAGTACTTATTCTTGTTTTTGTTTTGTTTTGTTTTGTTGTTTGTTTTTTAAGTAAGTTCTACGCCCAACATGGAGCTTGAACTCAGAACCCCGAGACCAAGGGTCGCATGCTCCACCGACTGAGACAGCCAGGCGCCCCCTGTTTTTGTTTTTTAATTGCACTAGAGTTGACATATGATATTACGTTACTCTCAGGTGTACAACACAGTGATTCAACAGTTCTATATATTATGCAATGCTCATCCTGGTAAGTGTCCAAGTACCCATCTTTTGTCTCCTGACCCTGATGCCAAGTTCACCTTGTTGCTGTTCTTCTTCCCCGCCTTGAAGGGTTCTATAACTGTGCCCCCCACACCTTTCCTTGCTACCCCATCCCTACCAGCTCCCCTGTCTTGTGATTCAGGCTATAGGAAGAGTTGCTGAAGGCACGGTTGCTCTTGGGTTCTGTAGGCATCAGGACCCCGTCCTTGAACCAGTAGAATTCAGAAGGGGGAGAGCCGTCTTTCTCAGAGCAGGTCAGCACTGCCCGACTCCCAATGGTGGCAGAGGAGGGGATGTTGACCGTAGGCTTGGATGGAGGCACTGTGAAGGGACAGAAGGGGCTGAGCACAAGGTCAGAGAGCGCTGCCTAGAGGCTAAGTTGCTGACAGTGCCATCCATCAGCTCTAGCCTCTACCCTTCACCATGCCCTCAGCTTCCCCCTACCCAGGGGCGCATCCCCTCTCTGCCGGCACCGTGACTCTGAATCCCCCCACCCGTGAGTGTTCTCACCATCAGTGAGCTCCAAAGCTTGGCAGAGCCTGTGAGGGTTTAGGGAAGCAATGAATGCCAAGACCACACAGAAAAAGTATAGCACATACCAAGCACAATGAGCTTGACGGTGACCTCCCCATAGGTGTTGCCGCCTTCCTCAGAGACCATACACGTATACATCCCCGTGTCTTTCCGGGTCACAGAGTGGAAAGTGATGCCACTATGTGAGAAGGTAACTCGGTCCTCATAGGAAGCTACCAGGAGAGAAGGAGGAGGGGCTGAATGAGCTGGGGCCTAAGAGAAGCTGGGGATGGTGGCAGGAGAGGCCACGGGAAGTCCACGGGACCGGAGCCCCCGGCTGCACCTCTCCCCTGGAATCCAGGCGCAGCAATCCCTCCACGACCGAGGCCATCAGGAAGGTAGGGAGCAACTCACCCGTGATCTTGTTGTTATAGCAAACAAGGCTGGTGATGTCACCTTGGGCAAACTTCCACTCCACACGGGGAGACGAGAAGCTGGAGTAGGAGCAGGACAACTTGGCAGCTGCAGACAGGACAGAAAGAAACCGGGGGAAGGTGCAGCAGCAAACGGGAAAGGGGACGTGGCCCCCAACCGCAGTCTGTGCTGGACGCTCTCCAAGTCCCCGGGGGCCCTGCACCTGCTCCTGCCAGCCCCAGACACCGCCCCCCCACCCCCACAGCTGCCCGGCACTCACGTTTGTTCTCAGCAACTCGGACTTCAGGTTCCGAAGTGTATACTGAACCCTTGCCCCACGCCAGGGAGCCTGAGGAGGACAGAGGCGGACCCATCAGGAGGGGACAGAAGAGCATTCCCGCTGATGGAGCACCTGAGGCTGGGCTCCTCCCACGCCTTCTCCAAGGTGAAGAGATTCAGGAGATCCAAGGTCCTCCTGGGTCTCAGACCCCCTCACCAATATCTTAAATATTTTCTTTAAATGCTTTTTGCCACAATTGCAGGCCAATACTTCCATTATCAACGGAAATAAAATATTTCTTTCAAATGTAATTTCTTTCCCTTTTTATGTTTCCCTCTGCAACTCCCAATAATCTTTTTTTAATTTTTAATTTTTTTAAAGATTTTATTTATTGATTGATTTGAGAGAGAGAGAGACCAAGCACAAGCAGGGATAGCTGCAGAGGGAGAGGGAGAAGCAGGCTCCCCACTGAGCAAGGAACCCGATGTGGGACTCGATCCCAGGACCCTGAGATCATGACCTGAGCCAAAGGTAGACGCTTCACCTACTGAGCCGCCCAGGTGCCCCTGCAACTCCCAATAATCTAATTAGACTCCTACTAGTCCAAGAACAGCTTCCCAAATGACATTTCATGGTTCAGAGAAAGCTTCTCAACAAATAATTAATTGCAACCACTTGTCAGACACTCCTGGCAGGAAGCCAGCAAAGCTGGAGGCCAGGGAGGCAGGGAGGGAGGCGAGGAGGCAGGGAGGGAGGCCAGGGAGGCAGGGAGGGAGGCCAGGGAGGCAGGGGAGGAGCAATTATGAGGATAATAACAACACTCGACATTTGTAGGGCATTTTGTGTTTTTTAAAGTGTTTTCACATACATTAGGTCGTTTGATCCTTGAAACAAGCATGACAGATCAGCAGGACAAGTGTCATTACCCCAGTTTTACATGAGGAACCAAGCCAATGAGAGGGAAAGAACCGTGCCTACGATCACACAGCTGGGTCTGAGAGGGAGCCCTGGCTCTAGCCAGAACTGGGCTAGATCCTCTCCCGAAACTCTCCCCCTGCCCAGTGGAAAAGGAAAGGAAGAGGTGGTGGGTATTGGGGGTGAAGAGCTGGGTGAGGGAAGGCAGGGCTAACTAACTGAGGGCAGCGCTGGGTGGGCAGGAGGATCCAGCATTCGACAGTAAGCACCAGTGACGGGACTCTGGGAGATCCAGACTCCGCTGCAAACCTGCACCTGCACTTGCACAGTCACCCCCATTCGTGTTTTCCACGCTCAAATTCACCAAGTGTGCTTTCTTTATCCTTCTAAGAGTCCCGTCTTCCTTAGATTAATGCAAGCACACTTTTGCTTTATGTAATTACTCACATAACTGAATATGGTCTTGAGGCTCCCTTTTCTCATCTGAAACATGAAAGGTTTGAACTTGATGTTCTCTAAAGTCCTTGAGAGTTTTTGTTTTTGTGTTGGCATTAGTATTTAAAGAGTACTTTTATACTGGGGCACCTGGTAGCTCAGTTGGTTAAGCATCTGCCTTTGGCTCAGGTCACGATCCCAGGGTCCTGGGATTGAGCCTCACCCGCGTCGGGTTCCCTGCTCAGCAAGGAATCTACTCCCTCTGCCTGCTTGTGCGCTCTCTCTAACAAATAAATAAATAAAATCTTTAAAAATAAATAAATACAATTTTAAAAGTACTTTTACACATTTATCTCAATTTGACACAACACTATAAATTAGTCCAGATAAATATTCTCTCTCCCATTTTACATATGAGAAAATTAAGTGTCTAGCCCATGTTTTCATAGCTATGAAATGGCAGAGCTCAGATTAGCACACAGCCTCCCCTTACACCCTCTTTTTTCCCTTTTCTATCTTATTTTTTAAAGACTTATTTTTATTTTTTTATTTATGAGAGAAAGAGTGAGAGCTGGGGGAAGGAGCAGACAGGAATGGACAAGCAAACTCCAAGCTGAGCTGGGAGCCTGATGTGGGGGTTCGATCTCACGACCCTGAGGTCATGACCCGAGCTGAAACCAAGAGTCTAATGCTTAACCGCCTGAGCCACCTAGGTGCCCCCTTTCCCCTTTTTATACCATACTTTTATAAGCCATGCTGTTTCTCAGAAAAACCATGATTCAATGGGGGAAAGACTATGTAATAAATGTCGTTCTTTTATTTATTTATTTTTAAAGATTTTATTTATTTATTTGAGAGAGAGAGAGAGAGAAACAGCATGAGAGGGGAGAGGGGAGAGGGTCAGAGGGAGAAGCAGGCTCCTCGCTGAGTCAGGAGCCTGATGCGGGACTCGATCCCAGGACTCCGGGCTCATGACCTGAGCCGAAGGCAGTCGCTTAACCAACTGAGCCACCCAGGCGCCCCTAAATGTCGTTCTTTTAAAAGTCAGGTCCAAAGGGTGCCTGGGTGGCTCAGTTGGTTGGGCGACTGCCTTCGGCTCAGGTCATGATCCTGGAGTCCCGGGATCGAGTCCCGCATCGGGCTCCCTGCTCAGCAGGGAT